TTTGAAGGTATCAGGCAGATACTACTCTCAAAAAATGTCCCTGAAAGTAAAGGAAAAGTCCTTGGTTAAAGCATTTCCATCCTGGTCTTTCTGACAGTCACGTATTGCCTCTAACAAGCCTTAGCGCAGCAAAACACCAGGTTTGTTCTTAAATCTGCCCCAGCTAAGGCTGATCTGTGGAGCTCGGTTTCAATCATATACTTAGAACGGAGTGCCTTGGTGCATTAGAGCCTAAAGACGGAAGACAGGCTGTTTCCTTTCTCTCTTTTCCTTTTGCTCAAGCAATGCTACCAGGAGGTAGCTGGAGGTATGAGATCCGGCTGCAATGCCCTGCAAGAAGGAAGCAGTTAGAAATGCGATTTTGGGGATGTGAGCCCCGCTCTCCAAAGTGCTGCTAAATAATTTCTTTCCTTTCCTTGTTTTCCATTTAATTTGTCCATATCGTTTACCTCCTGAGCTCTGCTTAATATTTGCCCCCAAAATACTCCTTGCAAGATGTTTGTAGGTTATGTCCAAACAAGAGGAGGGTCTTCCAGGTCTGCTGGTGTCTCACAGGGTTGTCCCATGCACATCCCGTCTGGCTCCTTCTCCTTCTGGTCCCTCGCACGTCTTCTCCTCTTCCAAAGAGATGCACTGGGCTCTGCTTGTCTGCGAGCAGGGGATGGCGATTTTTCCCCGTGCTTTGATCTGTGGTATGGCAGCATAATCTGCTGCAGCTGTGGAGTCCAGGCCATTTCAATATACGCACAGAAATCTTGAAAATGGATTGGGAATTGTTAGCAGACTGAGAGAAATCCAGTGAATGTGAAACTCCAGCAGATGTGGGGATCCCCATTTGCTGCCCTCTTCCTTTCGTCCTCCTGTGCTCGCTTGGACCCAGGTACCGTTTCTCAGACTAAGTTTGCATCTTCAAGAGAACAGGAGCTGACTTCCAAAAGTGTCAGCAGAAGCCAAATAATTAGAGAATGTGTAAAAACAGAGTCCATCCGAGCACGGAGGAGTAAGGTATGTGGGAGCTTGTCCGGGGTGTGTGTGTCCGTACCCAGGGATCCACAGCTCTTCACAGCAGGAGCCACCTTGGCTTGTTCTCCTTTTGCGGTCCTCCTCAGCAGAGACGAAGCTACAGAGCACGTGGATTTTCCCGCACCACGTGCTCTTGTTTCTTGGTCCAACTTCATTTGAAAACTGGAAGACTCACATGCCAGTGTGGGAGTGGAAGTGGACTTGAAGACAGCAGCAGGGTAAAGAAGACTTGAAACGCCCCCTAATTATGAGAGTGGGAGTTTTCTGTGCTGAAAAACAGATTTGATATTAAGAGCTTTAAGTGACTTTCCTGTTTGAAAGCGTTATAGTAAACAAAATGTGATTAACTCAGTGACTCATTGCAGGAAAGATTTTGATTTTCAGTATGATGTTTTTCTATCATATACTTGTTTTAATTACGCCTGCTGAATAATAGAGCTTGATAACAGCTTGGGCAAGGTAGGAGGGAAGGTCATCAAGATAGCTGTCCTTTTTTAATATTCCAGCATTCTTACACAGAGCCTTTCTTAGTGTCTGTCCTGTCACTGACAGGGCTGCCGGCTGTGGCACATCCTGTGAGATGCTATCAATGTATCCTGTAATTTTAGAAAAGGTTCGAGGGGCAGAGCGAGCTGCGGATGATTCGGGAGGGGGAGATGAAACCGTGGCTGTTGACAGCAAGTCTGTCTTGTCCCTGCCTCCCCTGTTCCCACCCTCGCAGAGTGATGGAGAAGAGAATGACGGGATCTGCTGAATAACTCACTAGAGAGCAAAACAGCAGAGCAGCTGGTGGTACCCACCGCCCTGCTTTCCCATCCCATAAGTCTTGTATGATACCACTTTGCATCCATCGTGCTTTTATCCGTGCTTTTTGGACCAGCTCTGCTTGGGGTTTTTTTGGCAGTGGTGCTGGTGGGGGGGTGTCCCTTTCATGATGATGCTGAGATGCAGACCTCCCAGGCCAGGGTATTTCTAGGTCTGAGCTCCTGGCGTGGACCCATCTCAGCCGTGCACGGAGCCACCGTTCCCATTGCAACCTGCATAAGATGACAGCGTGCACGAGGTTTGAAGGTACCTCTCCTCTGGAGGCTGCTGGGAAGGCCAGTGCTCAGGCTTCAGTGTAGCTCTCGGGGAGTTTTACAGGTCTGAAGGCCAGGAGGGATGTGCAGGGTACCAGCATCCCGCAGGCTGCCCACCTTCCAGGGACGGAGTGTGCACTGCGCTGCCTTGGTACCCTTCCCCATTCCTGTTTTGTGCAGAGCTGTGGGAGACGCCACAGAAACCTTTGCCTTATGGCTACCTTCCTTATCAATCACTTCTGTAAAATAATGATTACCCTTTACTATATCTCCTTGTTCTTCCTTAGTTGTTACGATGGTGTCGATTTGCTCTGTTGCATCTCTAGCATTTGCCTCTGCACGGTGATGCTTTTCCTGCAGCCGATACTCGATGCTGAGAGCTGGAGGGACCTGTGCTGTCTATCTGGTGTTTTCTTCGTTGACCAGAGGACGGTATTGTGTACAAATGGCCCTGCTGGGGGGAGCTTTCATCCTGCTCCATGACATGTGCCATCAGGAGTTTGGACTTTTACTGCCTTAACTCTACCAGGTTCTCCAGGTTTATTCTTGGCTAAAAATTACAGGATGTAAATTGTCTGGATTCTCGGATTTTGAAAATGTGTAATAGTTTCTGTTTACTGTCCTCTTCAGTTAGCATTGGCATGAGAAATATTTCATTTTTTTTATGACTAGGGAAAAAAAGGAAAAATAATTCAGAACAGCAGATGGGCGAAATCTGCTTGAACTCAGCAACGTGCCTGATAACAGGTGTAATTTAAGGCTGTAAACAGCCCTATTGAAGGCTGTTGGGGTCACCCCTACTCACAAAGACATACGTGTCTAAACTTCATCTGGTATAAGGCTGAGACCAAGAAAGGTGCCTATTTCCTATTAATTTACCGGCCAAATAAGCTTGTAACTATTTTTGTAGATCTTTGCTTAAGAAAGTCTGTGTTGAGTTAAGCCCAAGGTCCAGCTAACTTCTTATATTGTCTCTCATAGCAGCCATTAACAGGTGCTTGGGGAGGAATATAAAACATAAAGTGATCTGGGGCAGGTCTTGGCAGTGAAGTGGTTGAGGGACTTTCCGGGGAGGAGGTTGTATTCAGAAGTTACCCCGAGCCTGTCCTCTGGGAACGTGCCTCATTCCTTTTGAACACGTTTGTACTTTTGGCTCCCATACAGTAAATGATTTGCTGTGTGGAAACATACGTCTTCTGTTCATTTCTAAATCAGCTACTCGATCTCTCCATCAGATTGCCTTTACGTCCTGTATCAGGAGAAATGGTCAATAATCGTTCCCAGTTGACCCTTTCTGTATCAGTCAGGAGTTACTAGACTCTGCTCTGTCCTCTCTTTTCCATGCTCGACAGCCCTGGGCTCTCGGACATCACACAGCCCACATACAGCCTTGGGAGCTGGGTGTTTGCTTACGAGATCTGTACAGTTTGGGGTGGGTCTTTAACTGGAATTTGGAATTTTTCTTGAGCCCCAAACCTGCTAAACTTTGTTTAAAGCTGCAAGTGAAGATTTTTTTTTTAGCAATTTGGATGAAACCAATAGGCCAGGATGTGCCATAGTGCTGGAATCTCCTCCTCCTCTGAGCTCTCAGATTTTAGCACTGAAAGGTCACTGCTCTCTTCTTGAAAACCTTCCCTACTGCAAATGTAAAGAAGCTTCAGGATGCTCCTGGTGTAGCCAGCAATGGGTCCTTGCAGAAACTCCCTGTATTTTTCTACTAAGGCAGGAACGTTATAATTAGGGGCAATGTCAGAGGTAGGCAAATACCCCCTAATTGTATGCAGATGATAGACCTGGTTCAACCTTTTGACTAGTGAAGCTTTCCTCAATTTGGGATATTGTGATCCTAATCAGGGACCTTTCCAGCATACATCAAAGCCATCAGGCTGAAGCCGCATACCTTCAGGCTGGCATGGCTTGATTGCAAGGCTTCCTGCTAGCAGGCTCATCTCTGGCCAGGTGTCTTTCCTGCTGTGGACGACTGACTCCTTTCTACTCTTCGTCATTGAGGCAAAGAAATTTAATCCCAATATTACTGCCAGCCCTGGAATGGACCCACTGATTTGGAAATTTCACCCTCTTGTTGCCCTGAAATATCAATGCACAGCAACCTCTGATACCTGCTTATTTCATTGCCAACCTCTAACCTAAGGTGGAGCAGACCTGTCATTAGCACATTCATCTGTGTTTAGATCTGTCAGCTTCCTTCCCCTTCTCCTCTTTTGTTTCTCTAATTACTTTGATTGCATCTCTGCACCCAGCTCAGGACTGGTGAGGCTGCGGGGTCCCCATCCCAGCCTGGGTCACTATTTCCTTTTCCATAGGCAGCAGAGGCGGCTTTGCAAGAGGGAGATAATTGGGTCTGGATTTTAAAATTGTGAACGCAGCTGTGTTTAGATCTGCAGGTAGCTTTTCAGTTTGTTATACAGAGACATCCCAGTGGCAGAGCCTGTTTTTTCCTATTGCTTCTCGATGCTCCGCTCCTCCTTGCCTCGTACCCAGCAATGCTGGAAGCCGATGCTGGGAGCGCTGGGCTGCTCATCGCTGCTCTGCAAAGGCTCAGGTGTGGGTAAGGCGTCTTCCAGCACCCTTTAAGTGACGTGGCATATTCCACAAGGATTTTGTGTCAAATTTTCAGTAAACAGGCAGTGGAAGGAGTCATGTTGGAGTTCTCATTGCATTATGTTCCCTCAGGGACAACAACTGGGCCTGGGGTGCAGATGTGCCGTGGGTCTCTGGGGGGTCGTTCCAGCCTCTGCACTTCCCTGCCCTTAGAGGCTCTCCCTGTAGTTCAACCAGAGTATTTGGCATCTTGAGATAATACCTGGACATACAAGATAAAGTAAAATAAAATATTTGTGACAATATTTTTTTGTCTTTTCTTTTTTTTCTCCCCAGGGGCTGATTAAAATTCGAGGAGATCGCTGCTGGAGAGAGTTAACTTGCATGGATTATCACTACGAGGTGAGCAATCTGCACATTAAAACTGATTCCTCTTGTCTGCGTTACTTTGGTAGAAAGTTTTTCTCTAACCTTTTCTCTTCTGCCAGGTCGTTCTCCATGTTTTCTTTCTTTATCGTAGCCTTCTGTCTCTGGCAACACAGTCATGTCCATGTGCCAGCTTGGTGATGCTATTTTTCCCAAACACAGTCCTAAAAGACCAATTTCTCTCTTTCCCTCCCCTCACCATCATGGACTGACTCAGGAGCAAACCTGAGCCTCACTGAGAACTCCCTCTGTACAAAAGCTACAGGAGAGGAACAGAAGGGAGTTTTCCATAGCATTGTGCTGAATGCTTTCTGCTTACGCTTCCAAAATGTGGACATATGTAGACAGAAATAGAGCATCTCAGTGCTCTCCAAGATGCAGAGCACTAATCGTTGGCAATTCAGAATTATATGGTTTTATCTTTTTGACATCTGTTTCAGTGATTACATTGCGTTCTGATTATAAACTGTGGTATGTATTCTGGCTCTGAGTGTCGTCTCCTCTTTGATTATGGAGAGAGGAGCTCAGCTTCCCCTCTCTTTTTACCTATATTTTTGCATTTGCGTTTTGTATAAACAGTGTTAAAAAAGAAAGAAATTGCTGCGTACAGCAACGCTCCACTGGGCGAGTAGCCCTGGTTTAATGAAGGAAACGATACTGAAGCAATATTCCCTTCTTTAGATTAACATCGCAGCCACTGCAAATTGCACACTGTGTTATAACGCCTCTGCTCTGTAATCCGTGTCCATCTAATGAGCGGGTGAGCGTGCCGCATCTGTTAGCACGAGGCTGCAAAGTCTCAGCCTGGCACAGTTTCTGGTGCTGCATTTGTCCCGTGTTGGTAAGACCCAGGTACCATTTCGTGCCTCCACCACGCAGTTACTTTCAGCCAGCAGGCCTGAGCTGTGAGCCCCTGGAGATGTACCTGTGGGGTGACATTCTCAGCGGACCTTCATCACGTCTGGAAACCATTTCCCCCTTCCAATTAAACCTGGCAGAGCCTGACTTCTCTGACCTGCAGAACGTGTTCCAAGGTGTTGCCTATGAATTACTTTTTACAGGGTAGGCACGCTGAGCAGTGGAAACAGGGACGCTCGTACGGGACCTCTGTCTTTCCACAACTCGCGTGAAGAGAATTGCATGCGAGTGCCAGGGACCACATTACCAGTCCTGTTACAGGATTGAGATTCCTCTCCCCAAAACAGCAAAAAAAAATCTATCAATTTGCCAGGCACTGACGCCTTTATTTTTTGCTCCTGTGACTGACTTAACTGGTTGCACGTTTTGAAATGGAATTTTGCAGGTCCAGAAAGCTGTATCTGCCCGTTCAGCTTTAATGCTCCTTTTTTTGTTCTTATCGTTTACTTTTAATTGGGTTTCACCCACTGAATGCAAAGGTGGCCTTTCACAAAGGCTGCTGCTCGGTTAGCTCCTGTTGGACCATCGGTGTCCTGCTTCATTCTGAGTAAAACTTTGGATGCAGAGACCCTTCAGCGCTGCCATTCTTAATCCCAGACACAAAGGCGGCTGCAGTAAATTGTCCTTTGGTTTTGCCTCGCAGCGCGAGGGCTCTGCTCCGTGTGCTGCCAGGCACCTGGCAGCAGTGTGAGAAAGGCCAGCTCAAAGCGAGCCCCCCAGAATCCCCCGGCCGGCTCCGTTGGTGACCCCAGCCCACAACAGTCAGCCTGCATAATCCCAAATATTTCAAATCAAAACCAGAATCAGTTCTGTAGCCCAGAAGGCTAATTAAGACCATTCCTGTCATATCCATAATGCAGGATCCCCAGCCTGTGCAAGTAATTGGGAACAGGGGCAGGGGGCAGATCACATTATCAATATCAATTATTTTAATCCACACAAAAGAAGCTGCAATAAAAGGAAAATGAAAGAGGCCAAACTTTGTCTACCAGCGGTAACAGACAAAGGACTGCAATTCACCTGCTCGTTTCAGCCAGCCAGAGGGAGGAAGAAAAGGGTGAAGCTGAAGATACCTCTGCGAGGGAGGGAGGGAGCTGGGAATCTGCTCATAATTAGGATGATAAAACTGGGTATTGGACCAGCTCGTAAGTGGACCTGGGCCAAATGTAGTCTGCTGTGATGTATGTTGGCCACCCCAGCTCTCCTGTTCCAGTCCTGAACTGCAGTCCAAAATCTACATGAGCTTCTCTGCCAAGAGAATTAATGAAAACACATGGCCTCCATCTCTCGCATGGTGAGCGCGCCCTGGACTATTTATTTGTAGTAGAACCAGCAGCTATGCTCGTGGAAAATAACATTTCCACTTTTGTCAGGAATCGTGTATAAAATAGTAAAATGTTGTTATGGCTTGGGTAATTAAACGGAGCATATTTTTGCTCCCTCTTTCCTTTCTAATGTGCAGGGCCTTAATCCCAGCCTTTATGGAGATCTGCTCCTCAACTGAAGACTCTCTGTTTAGAGGGCTTACGATCTGTGACGCTGTGTAATTTGGAGAGGGAAATGGCAGAACGCATGGTTTACATAGGAAAGGTATTTTCCTACCAGCCTAACTCTCCTCTGATCCCTGAGGAGTAGATGGGCTCCAGTAAGCATGGAAGAGAAAGGTAGACACTGATGGGGATGAGAAGACTTTCCTACACCACCATACGCAGCCTGGCACATGGAAACTACCTGGAGGCTGGGATGAGGGGTGGGGGTAGAAACGCTTGGCGGATTAATCGTGGCTCTGGGTGCCAGGAGTCCTAAACTCTAATCCCAGCTTGGCAACACACTGTGAACAGGAAATTTAACCTCCTTCTGCATTAGTTTCTTTGCTAACGGGGCCAGAGGCTCCAAGGTAGGTGCGTACGTTTGCAGCCTGGTGTGCGTGCAGGTCGGGGCTCCTGATGCCCGTGGTACCCCGGAGCTTCACGTGCAGCAGTGTCCGCATTAGCATGTGAAAATGGACGTGCCTGGGTGGTAACTGGCAGGTGAAGTCCTGGGGTCTGACACGCCGTGGGCTTTATTTATCATTTGTTGGGTTTGCCGTCGCTTCACTGCCGGCTGTGGTTAGATGGCTTTTATTCCTACAAGAAGCCCCAGTAAAAGGAAGGCTTTTGCTCAGTGGAACCTGTTCCTGATGCAGTTAATGCAGAGGGAAGCTGCTTCTGGGTTTTAGGTCTGTTTGTCATCATGATTATTAAGCATTTATCTACTGTGTACACAATGGTTTACAAATATGCGTGCAGCGGTTTGCAGACTGAAGCTAGATTTCCGCTTCCACTGGAGCGCATGGCTCGGGTCCCACGGCGTTCGGCGGCATCCCACCCGTCGGGCGAGACGGAGCAGCCTCGGTTCCCTGCTTGTGCGAGCAGGGAGATGTGGCCGAGCGTGTCCCCCTGCCCGTCCCTGCCCGCTCCAGAGGGCATCCCTCGGCCCCTGCGGAGTGCAACAGCTCCCTCCCATAGCCAGGCTCCCGCGTGCCCCAGGGAAGGAGTCTGCTGCGGGAGGTTTTGTGCCACTCGGCCGTTTCTGGAGCTCGCACAGCTTGCAGGACATTGCCCGGGCGTGGGCTGGAGCAGCTTTCTCACTGCTGTTAGTAGGTACCAGGTCTGTGAGCCAGGCATGGGATTGGGGAGCACCAGCTCGCTCCCCAGGGGCCTCTTACCACTTCCTCCTGTGCCAAGCTTTACCTGGCCCGAGCTTTGCTAATTCTGGGTGTGCTGCTTAGCTGGCACAAGCACAATGTCTTAACGTGCTCCAAATGGAGAAAATCCTCTTGTGCAAGACCCCTATTTTAAAATCTCCACAGCAAACCTGCAGCTCTCCGACCCTCGCGCTTGCACTGCAGAGCACCTTGCGACCATATGTCTTGGCACGGGCCAGGTTTGAGTGGCACAGGCAGGAGATGAGCATTTCTGACCTGCAGCCGGTCCAAATGGAGCCCATGTTTTTGGCTGCTGGTGGTGGTCTTGGCAGAGCAGTTAAGCAGATAATCTTAGGGGTTTAGAAACGGGAAAGTCCTACATGGTCACATCTATTGCGTCTCCCCGTATTCCCCTGCAGAAGTACTCCCTGTGGGATGCAATCCAGTGATGCATTTTTTCTAACGGCTGCCAAAGTATTGTTGCTTTTTAATTACAGACAGATATCTTGTAAAATTCAGCCACCAACTGGTAGGAACAGCTGCCGAAGCAGCTGCTCGGGCAGGCGAGTGGCAGAGGGGAGCCCCACTGGGCATCCTCCTCCTCTGCCAGCTTTGCCCTGAAGCTGCTTGGGACCTGTTAAACACACCCAGGAGGTCCCTCGTGTCCTGGTGGCCTGTCCTCGGCTGGGCCAGTGCTGGGTGAAGCTCAGCAGAGGTGCGAGCCGCTGCGTGCACGAGGCAAGGAACCTGTGGCCCTTCTGCTCACTACTGGAACAACTCGTATTTTATATTTTTACTTTTAAGTTCATTTTTTTAAGTGATGCTTTAAAGGGCGTGCCTTGTATCTAAGAGTTTCTCAATGATTTGCATCCTTCGCTGCAGAAAGCAGGGTAGGAAGGCAGACTTACTACTGAGACAAAGATGAGGCAGAGGGATGAAGGGAAAGGAAAACAAAAACCTCCTCCCAAAGCAGCAAAATCTTTGCCATCATTGGAAGCACAGACCCAGGATTTGCTTCCTTGCTGTGGAGTTATCTGTAGGTGCTCAGGATGGGTCAGCTGCCACGAAGCAGGAAAGTTTGAAGGACTTTGCTGAACCAGTCTCTACTTAATAACTGAGTCACATTTTGGTTCTGAATTTGTCAGTGCTGCTGAGAAAAGCTTTGTTCTTTACATAAGACACTGCACAGCCACAAAGGTCACTTCTTCTGATTTGTACAAATTGTTGCTAATTATTCTGTAACTGTTTTTCTTAAATAGAGGCTGCCAGTCAGTGCTCCAGCTTCTGGCATACAGCAGCTCTCCAGTTCCTGGAGAAGCTCTCCAGAGCACAATGTCTTTTGTACCTAATTACGGGCTTGCTGACTGATAGC